AAACTTGTTTAATAAACCATATCTTTCATTTTCGATTTTTAATTCACGTAGTCCGGGAACTTTCCGGACAAACTGTGTATATATATATATGTACACGCTTAGTTTCCGCACAAACATCCTGCGAATGGCTCGTATCGGCCTTACATATTTCTGTTTATAGACCACGTTACAATTCTTTACATAATCGAGAGAGTTTTTATGCATTTTAATGTAGTTATTTAACGTGTTTAAATTTCTATAGAAGACTTTGAAATTCATTGTTTTTAAAAATCTTTGAAATCTGTCAGTAACCGTAGGTAAAAACGGTAAAAAAACTCTCTCCTTCACCCCGGGAAGTCTTACTCGATGCAGTCTCACAATCAGTTCTCTTTAATTTATTAAATAAATAATGAGGTCTATTGTAAACTATTTTAAAAACCAAATCAAAAGGGTAGTCATTAATTAGTAGAATCTGCATAATCTTAATTAAATTTTTCTTATGAAAATCCCGGTGAGAAAGTAAAATTGCTCTGTCAATGATACCATACATGACTCCAATTTTTTGTTTGAAAGGATGTTGTGAGCGAAAATTGAGGTAGCGTTCAGAGAAGATGAGTTTATGATACCAATCTAGAATGAGCTTGTCACCGACTACCGAAATTGTAGTGTCTAAGAAATTAATTATTCTCTTCAATTCTCTCTAATTCCATTGTAAATTTCAATCTAGAATGATACGAATTAAATTTATTAAAAATAAGATCCATCTTAATTGACCTTTAATTGACCAATTTTGCAGTAAGTTTTATTGTTTTTTGACCATTCTATTATTGACTTCACTTTTTTGATTAACGACTTTTGTAATATTTTGACTCACGATTAATGACTTTTCACAAATTTGTTTCTTTTAATCTTCTTTAATCTTTATATATCTCCTCTCTTTTTTTGTTTTTTTGTTTGTTCTTATTATTATTACATTTTTATTCCTCGAGAGTTGTTTGAAGTTCCGTCCCTAAAATTATTTATTCTTTCAAAGCAAAACCGATGCACAAGCAAATCGATCAACAACGATATGTTGTTTGTGCTTACTCGGCGTGACTTCTCTCACATGTTGACAACCGATGGCGTTCTAGATGTTTCCGTTATGAGGTATGTATTCGATTTTCTGTATATTTAGTGCCTACAACTTTGTTTTATACTCATACTGTAATTCTTAACCCTTTATTTTAAATTATGTTCCATCAATTTTACATCCTGTAATTTTTTATTATTTTTTCTTTATTTATTTTTTGTTTTTTCATATTTTTTAAAAATTTTTATATTTTTAAATATATTTTTATATATTTTTCTATTCAGTGTGGCTGATGATGATCAAAACTAATAAATGATCGAAACGTTCCACTATATTACTGCGTTATCATTCTAACTGCCTCGAACTGTAGTCTGGAAGGCTGTGAAGATCTATTTTGATTAATTTTTTTTGGCTGTATGGATCGACAAATCCTTTTCTACGATTGAAGTACATACAATAAGGGATCCAGGAGGTCCCAATTTATATAACAAAATGAAAAAAATTGAAAATTTTTAAGCATTTTTTTTATTTTGTTATATAAATTGGGACTTCCCGGATCCCTTGTTGTATGGATTTCGATCGTAGAAAAGGATTTGTCGATCCATACAGCCAAAAAAAAATTAGTGTGCGCGAAAAATTCAGTTTTATCGATAAAACAGACTCATTTTAAGATTCCCTTAAGTAATTGATGAATTTGGGGTCGGAAAGCTGCTTGAGGTTTGAAGGCGATGAAGGTATCACTACATTTTTAAATATCTTTTTTATTTTGAAAGTGAACCATCAAAAATATGCTGCAGCAGCCTGAACAAATAGTAATCAGAAGATGCAATGTCTGGAGAATATGTGAGTGTAGTAAAACTCCACTGAAGAATTATTATTTTTTGTATTGCAACCATAAACGTATAATATAATGAAATATAATATAATGAAAAAAATTAAAAATTTTAAAGCATTTTTTTTTTCATTTTGTTATATAAATTTGGGTCTCTCGGATCTCTTTTTGTATGTACTTTAATCGTAGAAAAGAATTTGTCGATCCATACAGCCAAGAAAAAAATTATTATGCGCAAAAAATTCAGTTTTATTGATAAAACAGACCTACTTTAAGATCCCTTTAATAGATAGCGGAAAATAATAGAAAACGAAGGAAAATATTTTAAGAAAGATTGAATACTTTATATTGTTAATAATAATAATAATGATTTTTATTTTTAAAACGCCAAAAATTTGTGCACACTTCTAATATTTTTGACTTAGCTATCAAGGTGATACAGTGTACGTATATATTTGACAGAGATGCACCAATTGTGATAAAGAATTTGTGATGAGTGATTTGAACGAGAAGCTTCGAACTGCTGAAGAACGAGAAGCTACACTTTTGATAGAGCTTTCGGAATTACGAGAGCAAAACGAACTCTTAGAGTTTCGTTTACTTGAACTAGAGGAGACATCTGTGCGCAAAGATAGTTTTGCTCATGCAGCAAATAGTATTATCTCAGCAGAACTCTCTCTTGCAAACAAGGTTTTCGTTTTGTATTTTGTACATATAATTGATTGTATTTGTCTAAATACAGTGTCAATATATATTACGTATTGTTATTAGAAAAAAAGGTTTTTCTTTGTTTTTATTAAAATATAACATTGCAGGATCATTTAATAACTAAACAAAGAAGCCGAGCTATTGCAACCGTCCTACCTTATACTAATAACACTACAGTAACAAAAACCACACCATCTGCATTACCGCGTAAACTTCCGCTTATCCTTCAAGAAAGCGGTATTTTCAATGAAGAAGAAGAGGGAAAGGAATGGGAGGAGCACGAAGAGAAGGTCGAGCTTGCCAGTCGCAGTACTCAGACAGAAGTTCCATCCAGTGAACTTCTGCAGGAAGTACAACGTCTCCAGGAATTAAGAACTCGAATTCAGGAACGAGTTAAGATCATAACACCGGTTTCTCATTCAATAGATTCGTCTAAGATTTGTTTTGATATAACAGCAATGAATTCGATAATTCAATTGGCTTCCTATCAAGAGCGCGTCCACGATCTCGAAAAGAAACTCGAAGTATACGAAGAAGTTGAGAAAATCCGAGAATGTGAGAAGCAATTGTCAAAACAACGAGAGGAAGAGTTGCTGGATGAAAACTACAGACTTACGGAGAAGATATACTGGCTAGAAACCAAGCTACATCACATCACAGAATCTAACTTTGATGAAAACAACAGTTTTGGTCAAAACACTGCAAATGGAGAAAAAAAAATTGTCGCGCACTTGAAAAAGAATACAGAGCAAATTCAAGATTTAAAGAATATGGAAGCTGACATGCAAGATCAAGCTAAGATTACAGAAACTTATGTAAATAAAGTCATTGTAAAATGTATAAATCTTCAATACAAAGATCAGACTAATGTGAACTCCAATCAGATTGTTTCGGAAATTCTACACAATGCCATAGTACGTAAATAATCTATATATGTATTAAACTAATTTTCTTTTAAGTTCATTCATCAATTACGAAGATAACATACACAGTTTGTCCGGAAAGTTCCCGGACTACGTGAATTAAAAATCGAAAATGAAAGATATGGTTTATTAAACAAGTTTACACTTCA